GGCATTCTCCAGGAGCATCCATGTTGCTGCAAATGGCATTATGTTGTCGGTTTTTATGGCTGAGTAGAATTCCATTGTTTAAATATACCACATCTTCTTTATCCAGTCACCTGTTGATGGACATTTAGGCTGTTTCCATGTTTTGGCTATTGTAAATAGTGCTGCTATGAACATTGGGGTGCAGGTGTCATCCTGAAGTAGATTTCCTTCTGGATACAAGCCCAGGAGTGGGATTCCTGGGTCATATGGTAAGTCTATTCCTAGTCTTTTGAGGAATCTCCACACTGTTTTCCACAATGGCTGCACCAAACTGCATTCCCACCAGCAGTGTAGGAGGATTCCCCTTTCTCCACAGCCTCTCCAGCATTTGTCATTTGTGGATTTTTGAATGACAGCCATTCTGACTGGTGTGAGGTGGTATCTCATTGTAGTTTTGATTTGCATTTCTCTGATAATTAGTGATATTGAGCATTTTTTCATGTGCTTTTTGATCATTTGTATGTCTTCCTTGGAGAATTGCTTGTTTAGGTCTTCTGCCCATTTTTGGATTGGGTTGTTTATTTTTTTCTTATTGAGTTGTATGAGCTGCTTATATATTCTGGAGATCAAACCTTTGTCAGTTTCACTTGCAAAAATTTTCTCCCATTCCGTAGGTTTTCTTTTTGTTTTGCTTCTGGTTTCCTTTGCAGTGCGGAAGCTTGTAAGTTTCATTAGGTCCCATTTGTTTATTCTTGCTTTTATTTCTTCCAGGAGAAAATTTTTGAAATGTATGTCAGATAGTGTTTTGCCTATGTTTTCCTCTAGGAGGTTTATTGTATCTTGTCTTATGTTTAAGTCTTTAATCCATTTTGAGTTGATTTTTGTATATGGTGTAAGGGAGTGTTCTAGCTTCATTGTTTTACATGCTGCTGTCCAGTTTTCCCAACACCATTTGCCGAAGAGACTGTCTTTATTCCATTGTATACTCTTGCCTCCTTTGTCGAAGATTAGTTGACCAAAAGTTTGTGGGTTCATTTCTGGGCTCTCTATTCTGTTCTATTGGTCTATATGTCTGTTTTGGTACCAATACCATGCTGTCTTGATGACTGTAGCTCTATAGTATTGTCTGAAGTCTGGGAGAGTTATTCCTCCAGCCTCTTTCTTTCTCTTCAGTAATGCTTTGGCAATTCTAGGTTTTTGATGGTTCCATATAAATTTTATTATGATTTGCTCTAGTTCTGTGAAATATGTCATGGGTAATTGGATAGGGATTGCATTAAATCTGTAGATTGCCTTGGGCAGTGTGACCATTTTAACAATATTGATTCTTCCAATCCAAGAGCATGGAATATCTTTCCATTTTTTAAAGTCTTCTTTAATTTCCTTCATCAATGGTTTATAGTTTTCTGTGTATAATTCTTTCACCTCCTTGGTTAGATTTATTCCTGAGATCTAATTTTAAAGTAAATTAACTTAGTAGTTTTCACATCGTTGTTTAGAAGTAATGAAGGAAGTTTGGTAGTTTGATAAGAATATAAACAGTGATTCACAACTTTAGGAAGGAGGCACAATGTTGTGAAGATAGCTTGTTCTAGCTCTGTGTTACGAATGGATTAGACTAACTGTTTGGGTTCATTTTTAATAGAATGTAGATGTCCTGAAATGACAGAGTATCTTTGTGCTAGATTTTTGGAGGTGTGATTTTCTAGTTAAATTCTGCGCTCATTTGTGGAAGGCCTGTGATGTTTGCATCTATATCTACAAAGACTTTGCCTTTGTAGAACAGAGGATTGAGTAAATTGACATGTGATATCATGGTCTCTAGGCCGGATACGTCAAGATTATCTAGTCTAACACATAATTTTTCAGATGAGGGAACTAAGGAGAGCAACAGTAAATGACTTGCTCAAGGTCACATGGCTGGTTAGTGGCAGAGTTCAGCCCAAAGCCTCAGTGTTCTGACTCTCACTTCAGGTCTTTTCCGGCTGCTTCTCCCTCCTTGGTGAACATACATATGAAAGCCTTGTGTTTAGATAAATGCACAACTGGTTATGTTTTTAAATGTTCTGAATCACTCTGAGATTTTAGTTTATCTGTTTTATTATTTTCCTTTTCTTCTTAAGCCCTGTCAGTTTCATACTGCAGTGATAGTAAATCATCAGATACCACATAGGCAATGCAAAATCTAAAATCAGGACAGATTAAGCCAGATTTTTAAATAGTATATTATCCTTAGGAAGCTCAACATAATGCTCCTGATGTCAAATAATAACAGCATCTTGGAAATAGATTTCTTTGTATGAACCTAGCATTTCACCTTCGGCATCTTAAAAAGGAGGAAACTGATAAGCTATTCATGGGTGTTCTTGACACCTGGGTAGTATTTATTCTTTGGGGAATATGTTGTAAGAGAGAGATGGGGAATCGATGTTTCTTAAATCTCTTTTCTGGAAACTTAACGCTCTGTGTTCCAACCTATGCATACATCATCTGCTTGCTTGATCTATGAAACTTTCTAGTTTCCTAAAGTGGATGGTGTGGTAAAGATATATGTTTCATTAATAATCATGAACTCAAAAGCCCCTTTGTTTTTAATAGATTGTTTAAGTATTTGTGCTCATGAGAAAAAAATTACTCCAGATTGTGAGCTCTATCAGAGCAAGAGTTTAATCTATTTTAGTTTCTTGATTTGTTTCTAGCACATAGAAGAGTGAATGGTATACTGTAGGAACTCAGTAAATTTTGTCAAGCAAATGAATGAATGAATAAATATAATCAATTTGGTAACTTTAAAATTTTTATTAATGTTAATGCTGTGGGATGTATAGGGTTATAAAATTACATTGTTAGGCATAACTCATGCCATTTCCTCCAAGAAATATTGAGCTTTATACCTTTCTTCTAGAAGTTTTCTCTCTATCCTCTAGACTGTCCCTGTTAGACTGTGTGCTTCTTAAGGATGGATAATGTCTGGTTCATCTTTGTATCTTATCTCATAATAACTTATGTATAATAAATATGAAAAATATTAAAATGAAATTATGATATTTAATTGATGCATGCTAATTGTAAAACTACTCTGTAACTTAGTGTAACTGAATTGATTAATTGAATGATTGAGCATCTCTTCAAGGTCCTAGTGTGTACAGTTATTGGTGATATAGCATTAAACAGAAATCATTGGTCCATCCCCTCAGTGGTTTGTAGTCTGGAAGGGGATGGAAATATTAATAAATAATGACAATAAAGCCATAATCCTGTGAAAGCACATAATGGAGGATCTAACCAAAGCTAGGTGTCAGGGATGTCATTTTAAAGGGGGGGAGCTGAAAGATGATAGAAATTTGGCAGAGAAAGGAACAGGAGTGGGAGAAAGGGGAGAGTATTACAAGTAGACAGAACAGCAAGTGAGAATAAAGCCCAGATGACTTGACTGAAGATCGGAAAGTTTGGTTAGTCCAATGGAGAGTGGAGAGGAACAAGAAATGAGGCTGGAAAGATAAGTAGAGGCCAAATTTTGGAGGGTTTATGAATCAGTCTATGTACTTTATCTTAAGCATAGACTCTTTCAAGCTGATTAACGACATGATCGAATTTTTATATCTGAAAAGTCATTCTGGCATTTTAGTGTCTTTGAACTTGGAGTTATTGGGATGTATTGAAATCTAAATAGATATGAAAGATTTGTAAAGTCTTCCTCCTTTGAGTAGGAAGAACTTAAGAGGGACTTGGCAAGTTATTGCACCTTTCTCTGCTTCAGTTTCTGTAACTGCATAATGGGATAATAATACTTCTTATTTCATAGGGTTGTGGTAAGGATCAGTTGAGTTTAAAGGTGTAAAGTGCAGTAACTTGCACACTGTAAGTGTTAACAAGTTGACAAGTAAATGTTAACTGTCTTCATAATCGTCTTGGGATGTCTGTATGGCTTTGTTCTACATGGAACCTCACTCGTCGAGTTTTTCCAAAAATGTATGCCTGTGTCATACTCCTGGACAAGAGACCCTGACACCTATAATTCTGAAAAGGTTCTCAGATGATTCTGATGCTCACCAGAGACTGGTCCTGGAGATGTAGATGCTACTCTATTGTGCAGGTACAGACCCTCCTGGTCCTGGGCATCAGGCTTATGGTTTCCAGGTGTTGAATCATTCTCCCCAGTGTACAAAGAACTGTTCGACATGGGCCTAGGCGAGTCACAGTAAAATAGAAGAGTCATGAAAAGAAGTTACACTCAATGGTATCATAGTTTATGATATGTCATGAACTGTAAGTTGATGTTTGACACTTACTGTTTGGTACTCTGCTTAACTCAGTGACTGGCTTATGCATTACATGACTTGCAGGTCAGAAGTTTCATGTATCCAAATAATGGCACCGTTTCTGTGGTATCTGTATTGTGAACCATCCCAGTTACAAGAATATTCTAAACTCCGACTAGCTCTGCTCAAAGTCTTACTTCAACCCCGGGCTCTTTGTGACAAAGAACAACCATCAGTATTGGAACAACAGATACTTCAACTGTGTTGCGACATGGTTCCATGTTTGCAGGTAAGGCCTTTCCTCCTCCTTCACTAATAGAGGGTCAGCATTAGTAAGTGTTGATTTTTATTGTACATAAAATAGAACCTATGTGATTTGGCAGACTGGCTCTGAAATTGCTTGCAGGGTTTTGGAGTTGATAAAGGAAACAAATCAAGCTTTCACTTTAATGTATACAACGTTAACTAAATTCACAGAAATATAAATCAACATAGTCCACTGTATGATTAGTAGGAGTGAAAACTTTGTTTAAGAAAGAATTCTCAGGGAAAACAATTTTGAGTTGAATTTCTCCTTGTGCTGGACACTGGGAGTGTTGTAAGGACAAAAAAGTCCTCTTTGTGTAAGTCAGAAAAAATGCATCTCTCTGGGCAGATACAGCCGTGGGGATGCAGGGCTGGACCAGCTGAGTGCTGGCTAGATTCCAGTTTCCACATGTCCCCTTACAGCATATGTGGTGACTCTGATGGACCCTGCTCTTGAGAAGCCTGCAGTCTAGTAAGGGAGCTAAAACATACACACACATTCTTATAACAAAGTAGATGGATGAAAGATGTTTAACAGAGGGATGCATAAAATGCTTCGGAAGTTCAGGGGAGAGAGAAATTTGAGCTGACGTCTCTATAACCGTAGTTGTGGTATGATTTTAGTGTAGTGATTCATTTATCCCATCCCACCATCCAGGTTTGTTGTTTGCCTAGAATCTGAGCACCATGCTGCTTAGCTAATGGAGGAAATTTGTGAATATTTTTCGGGGCGATCACCTGAGGTCACAGATGAGCTGCTTTAAGTTTGTGTTAGCAAGGAGTGACTAGAGCGGATCTTTTGTGACTCATAAATAGACTTCCCTGTAATTAAGGCAGAGAAAAGTTAATTAAAATGAATTCTCCTGTGGCCTTTCCAAAGTTTTTGTTTTGCACGGGCAATAAAGCAATGTATAGGCAGAACGTCTTGAACCAGGGTACGCTTTTTCCACCGCATGCTTGTGTTTCCCTGTCCTGTGCTCTTTGGTAGATGTTTGCCTTCATCTTCATCACCATATATTGACAAGCCTAAATACTTCTAGAAGTGAGCTCTGTGGAATATTTCTGGGAATCTGTGGTTTGTTAGTGTAGTCGAGATAGGTGAGGAAAAAACTATACATCATTTGGCACTAATGGAACTAGCAACATAAATACATTTAATCACTTAACAAATCAGCTTTACTGGAATGAAGAATCTGAGTGTTGGGAAGGATCTTAGTGGCAATGTAATCCATTTTCCCACTGATGACAGGTATTTCTCACACTCTCTAAGAGACAACCATCCCACGACTAATTATTAGTGGTAGGAAGCATGCTATTTTACAAGGCAACCATTTATTTTTTTTATCAAGTACTTCTAATTGCCCTGCACTTTGCTAAGACTTTACTCTTTAGTCCCCATTCTTCTCAGAATACAACAAAGTAAGCTTTTAAAAAAGCCCATCTGCATCCTGCCTTGCGCTGTTTCTTTCTTCCTTCCTTTTCTTCCCTTTCATCCTTTACACCTTCCCTTCCTCTTTTCTTTTCTTCATCAATTTATTTCTCCACATGAAATGGTTTCAGCTTTCCCCTGGTCTTGGCTATGGATTTTCTAGTTTATTGGTGCTCAGAATGTGTTACTGTGAAATGTTCTTCTCAGAGGTGAACACAGTACTGTCGATGTGGTCTGACTATACTGAACATTTCAGTGTAATATAATATAATATAATGTGATATAATATAATGATTATATTAATTAAAATTTTTTTTCTTTAGAAATAGCCATCAGCCTAGTGACCTATGATGAGATAATGGTCAGTGAAACATCTGTTTCTTTTTCTTCTCAGTCCAATTGTTTTTCCATTTTGTATTTATGGTATTGTCTTGTTTCGGACTTACCTGCCTTAAACTTCACTGTTGACTTTGGTCCCAGTAGTTCTTTCTTTTGAATTGTTACTCTTGTCATCACACATATTATCTTTGCACATGATCTATTTCTACATAAAGATGAACCACTACTTCCAGAGTATTCTTGTTAAGAATTTTGGTAATGTTTAAGATTAGAAAGCCTTTAATACTAACTTGCTGAGTTGTCTTGCAAAAAAAAATTTTTATTATGGAAAATTTCAAGTATGTACAAGACATGCACTTAAGGAAGTATATGGGCAAATAAATATGAGGCTTTTCTTTGTTTTAAATCCTTTCCTTTTCAGCGTGGCCTTTTCTCCTTTCCATTGTGTGTTTGCAGAAGAGTAAAATATTTTAGCGAGTGGACTGTTTACATTTATTTTTTATAACTTAGTCTTTTCTCCTATCCCCTTCCCTTTAATCCTTTAATAGCTTTTTTCTTCTTGTTAGGAATTAATTTTTCTCTCTGTGTACAACTTATAGTCATTGTGGGTTATTATGGTGGTAACGACTGGTGAAAGGTACAGCTGGTCAACTGTAGGCTTTCCTCTTGATGCATTTAACAGACACAAGGCTCCTGATTGAAGCAGATGGTTCATTGTTTGTAATCTCTGGGAAATGCCAATGTGTCTGCAAGCAGGACCATATCCTTAATACTAACTCCAGAATTTTGATCAGAACAGCTGGGTTTGAATTGAATTGGGATTTTCAAGAGCACCCAAGTCCTTCCTATCTAATACATTAGCCAGTTGAGAAGACACCCTACCATTTGAATATGGTCTTTCATTCCGTCTGCCAAGTGTGGAAATGATGCTCTTAGTTAAGGTTGTCTGAACAAATTTCTTGTAAATTAAGGACTCAATAGTGCATTAGAATAACATGCTAACCCTTTTCTTCCAGGTAGCTATGTTGGAATTGTAGAAAGGAGAGTTCATTTGGAGAACTGAAAACTGACTTTTTAATTTCATTCAACATGTTGGCACTGTCATATAACTTGTCTTTAAAAATCTGCACTCAGAGTAGTTAGAAAGATAAATGAAAAGAATGCATGCCAGCCAGCAGTAACAAAAATAGTAGCACATTTTGTTTTGGTTAGTGACAAAAGGAGAAGGCACAGTTGTGTAGTTTAACTCTCTTTGAGTTACATAAATTTCTTCATCTCTTTTAAATCTATAAAGTCTATAAAGATAGAGAAGAATATTTTATTGAGAAAGCTTATATAAGCGAAAATGATCCTTTGTTTTATATATTACTTAAATATCATATCATGATTTTTTTCAAACAGATAAAAGATTTGATACAGACAACAGAAGTGATGCTGTTTATCGAAGAAGTATATTTAAGTCTTTTGCGTCATCCCATTTTCTGGAAAATTCAGCTTACCCAGCTGACACTTCAGCTGCTGTGTGTCTGTGAAGTCAGCTTAAACATAACTGGGGAATGCTCATCTTTAATTCACCTTTTAGAGCACAGTGTTGAACTTCTGAAGGAGGTAAGGATAGTGAGAAGTTTTAATATGTCAGTTACCACTTAAGTGAGTCTTCGAGCACACTAGCAGGCTGTGTGCTCTTTTACTTTATTGCAGATCAAAGGTGTTTTGATCTAATACTGTTAGACCATACTACTAATGTACTAATACTACTATCATTTATTATGAAAATGAGTCACTAAATACTCTTTGGAGGAACATTTAAGGGTCTACCATTTGGCATTTTTAAAATGTATTCATGTAGAACACAAGTATTGAATACTTATCTGCTAGACCCTGTAGAAGAATACAGTTGACCCTTGAACAGCGTGGGAGTTGGGGACACCAACCCTCCACACAGTGGAAAATACACTGGAACTTTACAGTTGGCCCTCCGTATCTGGACTTCTGCACCTGTTTGTTCAACCAACTGCTGATTGTGTGGTACTAGTACATATCTGCGGAAAAAAATGTGTGAGTGGACCTGCACAGTTCAAACCCATGTGTTATTCACGGGTCACCTGTACATAGCTGAAAAAGTACATTCAGTGACCTCAAGGGACTTAACTAATATGCAAATAAATAATTGTAGTCCAATAAAGTAAATGCTTTTATGGAAGTATATTTAAAGTACAGTGGGAGTACAATTTGAGGGAAGTAAGACTTGAGTTCAGATCTGAGGAAGTCACGATAGGAGTTTGCTTGGTGCAAACCAGAAGTTGAGAAGGCATTCCAGCAGTGGGAACAGCATTTGAATTGGGGACAAAAAGTGTGAACTCCAAGGGTTTTGCTGTCATTGACTCCTGTGACATCTGTGGTCCAGTATAAAGGCATTTTTTTACTTCTTTTTCTCAGATAGGCTTTGAATTAGCCTTGATTCCCCCAGAAGTAGACCCTGAGTTTCCCTAAGGGCCAAAGTAGAACCTGGGTTTCCATAGAGGCAAAGGCGTATGCAGCAGGAGTTCATTTGCAGGTGTGATCTCAGGAAGCAGGTGGGCGAGGGACAAGAAGAGTGAAATGTTAAAGATGGGAGAGGCAGTACAAGTGTTATCAGGTCGGTATTTCTGTTGTGCAGGTACTTGTGTAAATTTCAGAATGGAGTAATTTTAGCAAAGTGTGCTGGACCTTTCTTCTTAAGTTCCATAATATGTTAATGTTTTCCTTATTTAGAAACCTCAAATAACATCTTATGCTACTTGCATTTTACATATTAGAACTTAATATACATATCCTATTTTTTCTTTTTCACCTCATTTATATACTTGGTGAAATTAATGACTTGGAGTTTCTATGGTTATTGCTTTGCTACATTTAAATATACTTAATAAATTACTGTAATTTAAAAATAATCTCTGCTTCTCTGGCACTAATGTTTCTTTTATTATAATACTATGATTTATTAAAATTTGTTAAATATAATTTATTATGTAAGCTATATAAATGAATTATGGCTGTATTAGGTAAGCAGACAATTGAGCTACTTTCTGGAAATGAAATATTCTTAAGTATTTCAGGTAGTTTTAGTGTTTTACAAAGATTGACTGTTTTGAAGACTACACGTTTTCCCTCTGAATTAATTTGGTTTATAGCCTAATGGTTTTTGGCCAGATATGATAACATTTGAATTTATGTGTGACTGCTGTGGCATTAAACAGTTCTTCCTTTAATAGAGCTAGCTTACTGTAAATAATTTTGTGTAATAGGTTTATAATATTTCATGTTAAATATACTCTTCCTACATACATGTTAAACAGCCATGGCTCTAGAAGCTTCTTCAACTCTTTACTTTTTTTCCCTTTTCTTTTAGGATTTTCCTGTTGTCCCAGTCATAATTGGAATAGCTTTACTACTTCTCCAGACTCCGGCAAGTCAGCAGAAGCCAATCTTAAGTCTAGGTAAATAAAAATACACTCACAAGAGTAAAATGTAAATGTAATACGAGTGTTGGCAGGAGTTACCTGAACTGTGTAGCATGCTGTACTGTAGAGTCCTGTATACTTCGAGTGTCCATGCTGAAATTTGTTAAATTATTATCAAATAGAACTTTCTTGTTCTTAGCCAGCAAGGGAAAGTGTTTTGTGGAAGATTCCATTTACTGTAATTTTTCAAGTGTCTCAGCTGTTCATTAGGACATTATTATCTAAATCATATAGCAGTGACGTTGGTAAATATTTTGAAGGGCATGTCAGCTTATTCACAGTTGTACAGCAAACTGAGAATTGGTAGCATAAAACCCTTGAAGCAAAATAAACTTTATCACTTGTATTAATTTTTAAAACTCTGTATACCTTTACTGTTCAAAACTGGTTCTATATTGAACAAGAATTAATTTATGATTATTCTATTAATCTAGCTAGAACAAATGAAAGATAACATTCTTCTGACTGTCCAGTATTGATTTAAAGAATGGTGAGGAATGGGGCTAAAGGGAGGCAAAAAATGTTCTGTTTAAAAATAATGTGATAAAGAATTAAGTTGCCAGGTCTGGCAGATTGGCAAACATGTCACATTTTTGAAACACTGCTTTTACATTAATGTTGCCTCACTTTACTTAATCCATATAGTAATGTAGGATCTGTCTAAATTGTGATGTATGTATTATGATGCCATGGTGCGTTGGTAAGTTCCCACTTTCATTTTTAAAAGATGCTTAAGGTAAATGCTGATTATGTAGCTTGTTTTTCTGGCATTTTGATTCATCATGATTTTGAGGGTGAATTGTTCTTTAGCTTACAGTCTGTCTTGGAAATGGCTTTAGCACATGGAGGGAACCCTTGGCTCTTTGAAGGGCTTTGATTCCTACCCTGCTTTTGCTTATTGTCTGTAAGCACTCTGTACCCTCCTCTGGTATGCACCAGTCTCTTTCTGAACTGCTTTTGCCTTTTTTTTCCTTAGAGCAGTGCACATGGCATCCTCCTGTAGGTGTCATTTTTCAGTGATGTTACTTCTGACAGCCATAGTTTTACTACTTTTTAAAAACATCTTTACTTAGGTAATTTTATTTACCATGAAGTTCCCTATTTAAAAAATTTTTAACCCTTTTTAAAAATTGAAGTATAGTTAATTTCCAATGCTGTGTTAGTTTCAAGTGTACAGCAAGTTTCACTGTTTTTAAGTGTACAGTAACATGCTTTTTAAAGTAAATTTACAGAGTTGTGCAACCAGCACTACAATCTAATGTTCTAAAACATTTGAATCAACCCCCCCCCCCCAGATTTCTTTGCCATTTGCAGTTAATCCTCATTCCCACCCTTAGCCGTAGAAAAACACTAATGTGCTTTCTATCTCTAAATTTGTCTCCTCTGGGTATTTCATATAAGTGCATTTCATTTGTTTTTTGACCAAAAATTTTTTTCAAAGCCCTGGAGAAACCACATTTCATTCTGAAGTTATAGTCCTTTATTGTGGCTCATGTATAATAGGATAATACAGGATCAAACACTCCAATACATTTATTATTTCTTGCATAGCAGACTTTTTCTTTTGTAAACCAGTGTCTCAGATTCGAAGTTACCTTAGATAGATTAAATAAACTATATTGAAAACTACTGAGCCAGTATGTCATGTTGAAAAGTAAAGAACTGTTGTTTAGTATATTGGGAAAGAATGTTCAAAGAACTAGGATAACCAAGAGAATATTGATTATTTCAAATTTAAAAAATGCATAGCTCTAATACAATGTTATGCTTCTTAATTATTAACACTGGCCTTGATTGTAAATAGCAATTTATCAAGATGCCTGGATGATACTACAGAATATAAAAATACTTCTATTATGTGAGTTTCCTATTTTAGTAAATATAATGGATTTTCATAATAACTCAGACAGTTGTGGATTAGGCATGTTTAGGCAAAAAATATAAATTAGTAGTGTTAGAGTAACAGGTGGTTGTATTTCATACCATGTTATGGTTTGACTTCCAAGTCATTTATAATATAATACTGGTCATTCATTGACGTGATTTAAAGCTTATATATAAGAATTTTTTTGGTGTAGTGGGGAAATTAATTGATTACTTTAATAATCTTGCTCTGAAACCTACAAATAACATCTTTTAGTAAATCAGCATTCATTTCATTCAGTAACTTTGAAAAAAGTATATTTATTCTTTAACTCATTCTGTTCATAGTCTAGGTGGAGATTATACATGTGGGTAAGTAATTGCACATATGTGTATGTTTCTGATGTGTAAGCTGAGTTTCCATGTTTTAAAAAGAATCGTTTATAAAAATGGGTTGGACTATTATACTGGTTATGGACTTTGAGGCTTTCCTGATTTGCTTCTTAGTAATTATAGCTGAAGGACAGCCCTGCTTCACCCTGTTTGCTTCTGTCTCTCTTAACTCAGTTCTCAGCTGAGTTTGTCAGAGAAGCACATACGTGGGTCTCGTTACCCACAGATAGGAACTCTGTGGGCTCTTGGCTCTGTTTGTTGAGGGCAGAGGATTGGACAGGGTATAAGGACAAAAGCTAAATTGTTGTTAAAGAAACTCATATTGACCTAAAAAAGAGTTGATTTTACTTTTTGACCTATGATATGTATTTTCTCTGAGTATCATCAAGTTTTCAGTTACATACATGAACAGCTTATTTTAGCTGAGTTAATTTTTACATTCTTTTAATTTCTAAAAGGATAAGATTTATCATGTTAGTTATGTGTCTGACCCAATTGTAAAAGGGTAAGAAAGCTTTTTGCATGTTACTCTGAAAAAAAAATAGCATTTTGTTTGACTGTAGTATTAATTTTAAAAACTGGATTGTTGTTTTGATGACTAGCTTTGAAGCTCCTCTCATTTGCTGAGGGTCAGAAAATCCCAAAGTCATCCTTGCTGCTAGTGATGCCCGTTCTGCAAATATTATCTTCTACTGCCTTGGAAGACTGTATATCCACGGATGCAGAAGGACCCTCCAGGCAGCAGTTGGCTCTAAACCTTTTAGAAATGGTACAGCAGGAGTGCTACAGAGATGACCACCAGAAGGTAATGAGTTCATCCTTGTTTCTCATACATACAAGTTAGTTGGTAATGTGGGACTTAATGTCACTGCCAGTAACCTCACCTCCTGTGATGCATCTGTTTGGGTCTAAACGTTGTTCTGTGAGGCAGACGTTAGTATATTCTTCTGGACTGTGACTGGAGAGGGTAGTCCTGCTGGGAAATAAGTTTTGGAAATGCTGTATAGTCTCTCTTGTGTGTTGAGTTTCCAGTGTATATTAGTAGCTAAAGATCCTGAGGAATCCTGCAGCAAAGGACCTAGTTCTGTTTAACCTGGTGCTTCTCCAACCTATGGAGCATGGAACCCTCTTATCTCCTCATACTGTTAATAAGTGCAGCATATTGCTAGGTCTGCGACAGTCCAAGGCGGGGAATTTCAAATACCTGGGAGTTCTGGGATCTGTAAAAACTAAGATTTCACTTTTCATTATTGCGCATTGTGCCATATTCCCTGGTATGTGGCTCTTGATGTCTCTTGTGAGTGCCTCATGCTGTTGCCTTCAGTTGGACAGTCACACTCCACCCCTACTCCTGCCTGCTGGGCTTACCCAATTCTGCTTTGTCAGTTTTGCTCTTTCTATTAGAATAATGTTAAAGTACTGTCAATGTCTGGTTAGTGGCTGGGTTCTAGGCCTACTACATTCGTCAGACTTTTTCTTTTGGTACTTGAGTTTTGCCATCGGTAAAATGTAGTATTACTTCCCATCTACAACTTTTATGGGGATTGAATGAGGATTCAAGAAGATAAAACTGATGAAGCATCTTTAGTCTCTGCAGAGAGACGCATTACATCAATGCAAGCTAGTGCCACAGTTGTTTTGTCTGCAAAAGCAGAGATGTCTCTAATAATGTGTTGTTAAGTGTTCTAGCAGCAAAATCCAAGCATTCTTATGGATTCCTTGACATGCCGTGTTTGACCATGCAAGAGAAGCTAACCTATAGGCAAACTGAATGGATGCTGCAGCTTCCTAAATCCTCATTGTTTGACTCAAACTTTAAAACTTGAAATAGGTAATTGATTGGCATTAAGAGAAAGAGGGTGTTGAATCTGCTCTGATAAACTGTGGCCAAAAATTTCTAATAGCCTTTTACCTTCCTTGTAGGTTTACCCATAGAGAATAATAATGGGATTCTGAATGGGGGTGGGGACAGGGCACTATGTGTAAGAGTTCTGTTCCTTTAAATCATGAGTGGTATTTACTGAGGATCACCCTAAATCTAATGTGTGAGTACTCGGCTTACTATTTGCTCAGGTGTGTGTGAATCTTATTCATGAGTCCTGATAGGTGAATTTTCCCTTCAGCAGCTGGTGAAGAGGGAGGAGGAAGGAATACTATTAGGGTATAAATAGCCTCCTGATGACAGTGTGCTGCTTTAGGGAGGCTTTGGGTGGATATATGATCACCCTTTTAAAACTTTTAAGCCACAGTTTACTGTTGGCTTTTCTTCTGCACCTGTCCGGGCTCTATATTCCAAACATGCCTATAAAATTAACCTGCCCCAAACTCTTTGAGTCTTTTCCTGGATCTTTGCTTATGCACATAATGTTCTTTTGTCTCCTTTGTGCGATCCACTCGTTCTTCAAGATCCATCCAAATGTTCTCAGTCTTCCTGAGTCAATTTATTACTCTCTCCTTTGCATCCCGTGCACTTCCAGTATTACTCAATTATGTTGTGTCTTAATTTAGGGGGTTACACATTTGCACCTCCAGCTGTGCTGTGAGCTCACTGAGGGAAGGGATCTTGGCCCTTTTCACACTTTGCCTTTATTTTCTAAGCATGTTAATATTTAAATTGTAACGATTGTTGAACTTTTTGTATTCTTTCCACACCAGGTGTTTCTCCATTATGTTTTTCAGCTGATCATAGAGGAGAGAATTAAAATTACTTTAGCCAGTTGTTAAACTGAATACACTATTTTCCACATACTTAAAGAAATAGATAACATCTTAACTTATTTATCTTTGCATCCTCCCTACTGGACCCATTGTTTACCCACATGGTAGACATTCAAGAAATTTCCAGTCAGTGAGGAATGTGTGATTCTGATATGCATACAAAAGATCATTTTACCATCTTGACTCATTACAGAAAGACTTTAACATCACAGATTTCTGTTGTCTGTACTTTTATTATTCCTCTTTAAATTGGTGACTAACTTGAGTGTTTGGTTTAGAACTAGAGCATTTCTTCAGAAGTACAATTCTGGTAAATGAAACCAAGGGTAAATATCCTATACCATGCAGTTCTGTATTACTTATTCATTTCTGAATTGTAGATAACCATGAAATAAAACACAAATTTTAACTTCTTCCAGTTTCTATAAGTTAGAAAAGTAAGACATCAAATCAGCCATTCATCTCCTTAAAAGATTAACATAATCTAATGTATTTTTAATATTTTTTAGTGGCATATGAAAACCAGGATCTTTTTCTCTTAGGCTATTAAATATGATATTTAAAACCATGTATTTGTGTTCTCCTAGGTGGAAAAAACAAACACTAGTTGTAAATTCTAAACTGCTTAAAATCTTGCCAACCTTACCCCAGAGAATGTGGGGGGAGGGGGCGAGAAAGCACCAGCGTATGAGTCAGGGTCTAGTTAGGAGAAACCACACTGATAATTTGAAGGAAGAAAAAATACAAAGAATTACTAACTAGTAAAAGGTGTTTAATTACTGACAATTGAAAAGAGGCTTTAAGGAATATTGCAATAATAAATGTAGGGAGCAGCTAGTACTACGGACTGAGCGAGGGAAGGAACTAAATGGATCTCCCCACCCAAGGCTGAGATCACACCTGTTGGAGAGATTGCAGCTATGGCCTGCTAGCTGATGAAGTGTGCTGGGGGTGCTATAGGCCAGAGCTGGTCCACGGGAAGCCATCTGCTGGGGACTCCTACATGCACCGGTAGTCACGGTGGGAGAAATCCAGGAAGCACACAGGAACCTGAAGAAAAGCCCCTTCCTCTGCCATTCCTTGCAGGAGCTTTTCTGTGCCCTCTATTAACAAGGCCTAACCCTGGCACAGAGGGCAGAGGAGGAATGCTGACAAGGTGCAGATGAGTGTGGCAAAGCAGGACTAAGAAGGCTGTATTTGCAGCTGAGAGGTAATACATCGACAGCTGGCACAGCTGGTGAGACAGAATCAGGCTTTTCTGGAGGGGAGTGAGGGTGGGTGGGTGAAATAAAGTAGGAAAGAGACTTAAAGGCTAAATTCCTCCAGTATATAGTAGGGCAAGAGTCATCGCTGCAGAACTGCTTTCGTCAACAATAAGATTTACAGACAGTGTGACTGAGCTAGGGCCTGTCATACATTTATTCATTGGTATTTTGGGATAACATACTTTATTCCTAACTTAAACAAAGTACCACGAACTTTATTTCTTTTAATAAAGCAGTGCCAAGTAGGTCTCACTCACAGTTGCTTTGAAGTCATGTGTAGTAAGAAGAAAGCATTTTAAATACTTGTCTCTTAAAAAATAAAAATTTATAATAGATTATTGTCCTATTTATAGCTAAAGGTAGCATTTATTGAGCACATGCTTTCTTTCAGAAGTTGTATTGGTCAACTAATTTCTCACATTGACTTTGAAATAGGATTTTTTTTTTTTTCCATTTCCAGCTGTGTGGCTTAGGACTAATGGTTGAACTTCTCTGGGCCCTGGCAAAATGGGCAACAAAGCACCTGCTTCTTGGAGTTGTTTATTAAGCATGCTTCATTCTAAGTGCTTTGCCATATAGTAAGTTGTTTGATTTTATCCCAAACTCTTTGAGGTATGTAATATTATTGGTCTAATTTTACTGAAGAGTTAACTGAGGCAGAGAGAAGATAGACAGTTTGCCAAGGGTCATGCAATGGGAGTGTATTTTTTTTAAGATTTATTGAGATAAAATTCATAAACATACACTTTATTCATTTAAAGTACACAATTCAGTGGCTTTTAGTATGTTTGCAGAGTTGTGTACCCATCACCACAATTAACTTTAAAACATTTCTATTACTCCAAAGAGAAATGGTACTCACCAAATAATACTTCATTGTGTAGATATACCACGTTTTATTTTTCTATTTATCCGTTGAACGTCTCAGTTGTTTTCATTTTTTAGCTATTGTGAATAATGCCGTTTTGAACATTCCTGTACAAGTTTTTGTGTGGATGTATGTTTTCATTTCTCCCGAATAGACACCTGGGAGTGGAATTGCTAGATCGTGTGGTAGCTCCATGCTTGATCATTTGAGGAGCTGCCAGACTCATCCAAAGGGATCGCACCATTTTACATTCCCACTAGAGGTATATGAAGGTTCCAGTTTCTCTATGTCTTTGCCAACTCTTGTTATTGCCTGTGTTTTTGATTATAACATCCTGGTGGGTGTGTAGTGCTATCTCATTGTGGTTTTGATTGCATTTTCTTGATGATATTCTTACAATACTCATGTTACATGTGAAGAAACTGAAATTAAGGACATTAATTAACTTCCCTTCATTACACAAGTAGTGGACAGTATAACAGATTCAGATTTTAGCTATTTGACTTTAGAGCCTACATTCTATTGCCTCCACTTTGGTTTGTTTGTTTTTTTGGTTTTTGGTTTTTTTGGGGGGTGCACAGTAATTTATCTTCTTTGTGCTGAACTTGAGAGTAAGTTAAGAGTTTCAGATTTACAGGGAAACAGTAAATCAACAGTAAGTTGAAGTAAACTGGTTTCTTAAAAGCTTTTGGTTGGAAGTTAAAAGCAGTGAGATCTAGAAATTGACACATTGTAACTGACTGTACTTAAATAATAATAATAAAAAAAGGCAATGAGATCTTGTGCTTCTATCATTGTCTTCTGAGTGACATGTACACTGAGGATGGCATGGGCTGTCTTTTGGTGATAATCAGCCACTCCGAAGCCTCTCAATTCCTGACTAGATTCTTCAGAGAGGTATGGAGCAGAAGACCGTCTTCAGGCTTAGCCTAGTCTAGTCTGCTTCTGGTCTGATGAGTGATTAAATCCCTTCTGGCAAAAAGCTGTCCTCCTTTTAAGGGTCTCCAGGTTTGAGTTTCTATACTCCCTCTCCCGATCAAATCCTGGCCCCATTTTTGTTAAAATTATAGATAACCGTGGTGATTTTAAGTTAGTGAAAATCTATATTGTTCACCTGCATTCACAATTTCTTTTTCAGTTCTGTTTAGACAAAGAGGTACTAACAGATGTCTTATTGTTAATTTTTAGTGTAGCTGAACATTTTTATTAAAGTTTTCAAAAATAAAGACTCTCAACTCTTTTACATCTTCAAAAGATGCTTTACAACCCTTTAATATTCATTTAAATGTTATTTTTCTATGTTTTCTTCTCTTTCTTTTTATTGAGTTATAATTCACGTAACATTAGCCTCGCTTTTATTTTTAAACACCTACCTTCTCCTCTAAAACACAGGGCCTACCAGCACTTTCACAGGTCCTCCCCCCAGGCTGTGGGGCCAGGATTTGGTAGCTGGTGCTGAGAGAAAACCCTTGGTTGCACGCTTGCCCTGGGACTGTGCCAGTGGCAGTGTTACTCAACGGGACAGAGAGACCATTCTGTGTTCTCTAATTCAACATTGTGCCTTCCTCCCGCCCCTCTAACCTTAGGTAAAAAAACAAAAAACAGAGCCTAAACCTGAATGTAATACTTCAGGCTAAGTAGGATTATTTTTCTGTTTCAGTATGTTTACTCTTACATGTCTCTGTAATGTTGCTGCTTTTGACTCAATTTATGGTTCATGGTGATTTCCCATTATTTTCTTTTATACTCATATCCAGCAATTTTATTTTTCTTTCCTAAAGATGACAGGGATAATATTTTCCTGTATTTTGCAACTTTAGGCACTGTGCTAGGTGCTTTATAGATACTGACTCATTATCTGTCTCAATAATTGTGGCAGGAAAGTAGGCATTGTTTTTATTTTACAAATGAGGAAAGTAAGTTTGGAGAGATTGCATAACAGCTAATAGCTGACATGGCTGTGCTAAATAAAGTCTTGGCCTTTTAAATCTTAAGTCCAATGCTGTTTGTCATTAGGCTAAAGAACTTGACTGTAGCCTTTAATGAATTTCATCTTCTTGGGGAAAAAAAAGTATTTTTAGAGAGACAGGGCTATAATAAATTTAGATATTATTTAGGTTTTAAAATTTATAATTTTTAATATAGTAATACCTTAAAATGGTTCAGGAATTATAAATGGTGTACAATGGGATGTTTCCTTCTCACCTTTGATTCTAACTGTCCAGTTTCCATACTCTCAAATAGACAACGAAGGTTAGTTGTTATTAATTTCTTCTGTATTTGTCTAAATACTTTTCATATATATTTATATAAGCAAATACAAGTATATAGTCTTCCTGTTCCCCTTTAAAAAATTAATTGATAGCATTTCAGGTATACTATCTGTGTCTTGCATTTTCATATGTGAGATCTTTTCATATCAATAAAGATAGAGCTTCCTCATTTGTTTTTATGGTGGGATTTACTTTCAAGTAAATGTTGTCTTTATTCTTAGGCATATACTTGAAATGGTTGAACACCTATGTTCTCTCAAAAACTTTTACAGCAATATTCATGGCAGCATTATTTATAATAGCCAAAAAATGAAAACAACCCCAATGTCCATTAATTGATAAATGGATAAACAAACTGTGGTATATCCATACAATGGACTACTACTTGACAATGAAAAGAAATGAAATAGTGGTATAAGCCACAACATAGATGAACCTTGAAAACATGCTAATGAAAATAAGTTAGTTACAAAAGACCACATATTGTATAGTTCCTATTATATGAAATGGCTAGAATAGAAACAGAAAGTAAATTACTGGTAGCTGGGACCTGGGCATTAGAGGGACTGTTAATGGGTAGGGGGTTTCCTTTTGGGATAAAGAAAGATGTTCTAAAATTAGCTAGTGGTGATGGTTACACAACTCTGAACTACTGAAATACACTGAGTTACAAACTTTGAAAAGGATGGATTTTATGATATGTGAATTATATCTCAGTAAAGCTGTTATTAAACTTTTTAATAAAGCTTAACTTTTATTTTTCATCCTTTCAGTTGTTCCCCTTATCCATGTAAGTCAGTCTCCAATAACAGGACAGTTACAATCTAAAGATTTCTAATTTGTCTCATTACACTCTAAATGAATTGAATTATTTTATTAGCAGGCAATATCTAATTCCTCTTTACTATCTATGGCTTCTCCTGAGCCGTTTGGGCCCACAGCTCCCCTCAGCAGAGTGCTGTTCATTCTCTGCCCCTGACTGCACTACTTTATTTCTGTGAGGAGTCATTGCTCAGATTGAGTTAAGTATAACCTTTTCTTTGGGTGTCATTTCAATTTAGAGCTTTCAGGCTATTTCTTATTGCAGCAGTTATTCACAATTATTAACGAATTTCCAGGCTCTAGCTGAACCAACTCTGTTCCTATCAACATACTGTCTGTTACAAAAATGAATTGTGCTCAGTCCACGTCTGCCATCCGCCCGGGGATTGGAGCTGAGCAAATGCAGTGTTGTTTTTTTTTTCCATTTTCCCTCTTACTAGGGAATACTTCTTAAGTGATAATGGCTTTTTCCAATCTCTCTTGCCTCTGGATTTTGTGTATTGACCTGTTATTTTTCTGACTTAACAGGGAGAGCGAATGGTAAACATGAGGAAAATTTGTAATAAACTCTTCTGGACTTCCATCTAACAACTGTTTTCTTTTTGTGCAATCCTTTTAGTTTAAATACGTGCAGAAAGGTTTTGGGCAGGAATTGAAAATGTTACTATCATTTTGTTGGAAGGATTCATTCCTTATGACAAAATACAAAAAATAAATTAATGTCAAACATGTGTTTCTGACAAATAGATTTATCTCTTTTATTCATGCCTTATTTGTATTTATTTTTCAGCTCTCCTACAAGCTTGTGTTCCCCGTAACCAGCATGTATGGTTCAATATTTACAGCCTGGAGGATCCTTGAAGTAATGAGAGAAGAGTCTGCGGCAAGTGACTGGTTGGCTTCCGTCGAGTCATTGCTCCCTATTACCACAGTGATCCCTGTGCACGTCTTTCTCCTGCTGGCTTACCTCCTTGTTGAAAACAAAGGACGAAATCTTCGCCAAATCCTGAAGGTCATTACAGAATTAGCCCAAGCCGACTCTTCTCAGGTAAAGCAAGAAAATAATGGACTAGTGATGGGGTAAAGCTTAAGTTTTGCAGCTGTAGATCCTTCTTTCTTTGTGGATGATTTTTAATTAAAGCTTTAATATACAGGTAGCTTTTTTGTTTGTTTTTGCTATCTTGATTTTTCCCCCCCAGTTTTTCTTTTTTCTCCTTACTCTGAGTTGATGTGTACTTAATGATGGAAATATTTCTTTAATGAAAGCACTCTTCGAAAGAGAATCTACACATGATGCTAGTTTGATGTTCTTGATCTTGGTGGATTTGCTGATTTGTAATGCTTTCATTAACTCTTGCAGCCTAATCCAAGTTGAATAATCCTTAGTTCTAATATCAATGTTTTAAGGTGGAAACATTAATTATTTCAGAATAAATGTGCCTATATAATAGACATTGATCTCTTTTTAACTTCTTGCAATTTGATCCTGTTTTTATTCAGTCATTTAATAAACCAAAAAATAATGGGTCCTTGCTGTATATGATGCTGATGTACCTGCTGGGATGTGAAGATAAATGGTCATTTTTCCTGTCTGCTCAGTTCTTGGAGTGTAATAAGAAAGCTGTCAGACACTAACAATAAGACTCACCTCACCACCTTTTAAACTACCCATATATTTAACATAGTCATCTGTGATTTTTTCCATTGGATAGAATCTCTAGAATACATTTCCTGTGAAGGGAAGGGTTTCCTAACCAAGTGGATATAGTATTTTTGTTACCCTCTATATCTTAGTATCTGTGCTTGTGTTTCTTTTCAAGCATGGTGAAGAAGAAAATCCATCTCTTCATGGAAAGTTATGTGTCCCTATAGGAAAAAATTTGGTGGTGAAGGTGGGATAAATGTTTCCTTAGTATATGAAGTTAATGTGTTCGGAATTCCTTTTTGTCTCTAACTTGTCATGCTCATTTCTTCTTGTCGAGTGAATAACTGCTGATATCTTACAAAAGTTTGCCCTCTGATGAGACCTCTTCTGGTCTGATTCTGCAAGTGGAACCATGTGTACTCGAGTACCTTTGTCTCATCATTTCAACTTGCTTCCTACTTTATTTCTCCCTTCACCTTCTGTAACGATTTTGCTTCTACTGCATGTTTTCTTTCAGTGTTGACACCTTGTACGATAATCTCTTTAGAGTGGTTAATGCGCAGACACTGGAGATTATTTTACGAAGTCATATATTAGATTACCTGATCTATGTATGCCACCATTGTAAAACATGTATTACCTCAATATATGTATTGATACTCCGGAAATGCATTTAGTCTTTGAAATTCTAGGGTGATCCAATATCCTTATAAACATTATTTGTCATGTGTGCCGTGCAGTGGAGAAGGTTGGGAAGCACTAGAGTGACCATCCAGGTACATTTGTGTTTTCAATAATTGTTTATTGAGAAGCTGTTCTAGAGGCTGAAGTCAATATATTATATTTCCGTTGATTATTTTTTGGATAGTTTTGAAAGAAATGAGAAAAAATACCCAGTGTAATGTTTTGTTTGTTTATTATGTTTTCGGGGCTTTTTTTGGGGGGGGATGATTTATTTTATTTATTTATTTATTTTTGGTGGAGGTACCAGGGATTGAACCCAGGACCTTATGCATGCTAAGCACGCACTCTGCCACTTGAGCTATATACTCTTCCCCCACCCAGTATAATTTTGTTAAGATGAATGGTAGGGTAAAATATTTAAATATAGTTACCCAAATTCATGCAGAAGCAAAGGCAATATAATTAATAACTTAGAAGTGGAGTTATTTAATTCTTTTCAAAAGGATAAAAGAAGACTAGAAGTCTTTTCTTCACTTTCCCTTATGAAGTGACCATATCATATCACTGGCCTTCAGCTACAAGGTAAAGCAGCCAAAAAGAGAGGGCTGAATATTTTGAAAAAGCAGATTCTCTAATTGTGAGTAGCTACTTGGAGTAGATTCAGTTAGATGAGTTAGGGTTGTGATCTGTTATTAGAGGAGTGTTTTCTGTTTCTTTCATTAAGTTGACATGACTACTTAAAATGTATTCATATTTCATGTGTGTTTGTCCTTTCTTACCTTATAGAAAGAAGGTATATTATATTTAAACGGTCATTGACTCAGATTCATGGGGGAGTTGATACTAAAGAAAAGTCTTAAACTACTAATAAGCAAACGCTAAATAAATAGGTAGGTGAGAGTAGTTTAGAGGCTGTCTTCTACCTCTGTTTTGGTGGTCGCTTAACCTCTATGGTAGAGTTCACTAGCCTGCAGTGTGCTTAAGTATTGTGTTTGTGTGACACCATAATGTATTATAAGAATCCTACTGTAAGAGGATTTGAAAAGTTTGAAAGAGATGTGCTGTAGTTGAAGTATGTTTGGAATGATGGTGATGATGATGGTTAATTCCAAGGGATTAATAGTAATTATTAATATTAATTCAAATTATCACTATCAACTAGTAATTTTGTATTAGTATTAATGATGATAAGAAAATATGCTTTTAAAATACTTTTTACTTGTGCAATTTGTTGGGTCCCCTTCCCCAGTGTTTTCACCCTTAGTCCCTCTCGTGCTGCTCCTGTGGCATGCATTTTCCACTGGGTTTAATACATTTAGGGGCGTGGAAGTCTAATGGTGCTAAGTAGTCTGAGGGGAACTTGACCTTGTGAGTACCATTTTAGAGTTAACTGGATACAAATGATGGTGTTAAAATAACTAGATAGCTACTCAAGGCCACAGCAATAAATCGACACTTGAAAAAATAGTGAGAAACTTTCCCCCTCATATCTAGAAATGCTGTCAGCAGCTACTAATAATCCATATAGTTTTCTTACTCAGATCTCATGAGACTTAATTTGCAGAAGATACAAGCTCAGGTCAGGCAGAGCTCAGTAAAAATTAAGTGCCTTTTATATTCTTGGAAGGAATGTCTTAGAGTATTCTGGGGAGAGATCCAAGAATGAGAATCCTGTGTGAATTCCCATGAAAGTCTTGAAAGTTTTAAACACATTGATTTAGTTTAGAGAGAGGTTTTCATGTCATAGTCTGTGCTTATGATATATGGGAATGCCACCTAATTCCTAAATTAGTCTTTTTTTCTGGAAATTGCAGTAGATAGATTCATGTGCTTTTTGGTAATGTTTATATAACAGTTCCTGCCTTTCTGAAACTGTGTGTAATGTTATTTCCCCACAACTTGATGTAAATCATTCAGGCTGCTTCAGAGATGCCTGAATGACAATTGAAGCACATGGCTTCACGGCTCATATACAGTTATGTCCAGTTGGCCTTACTCTTTTTTCTTCAGAGAGCTATTTTCTACCTCTGTGATTTGTCCAGAGTCTGGTCGCATCTAGTTTGAAATCAGTGGTAGTGAATGTTAGACATAGGCTCTAATCAAGGGATCCTGTGGGCCCTAGGCCTAAGGGAGGACATTATCTGAACTTTGATTTATAGCTTTTTAAAGGCCAATGTCCAATCATATTTTGAACCCTTATTAAATGACTGACCACTCTGTATAACATTACTGTGGACAGTTTGGAAGTGTCTGAGCCTAATATAACCTCCTTAAGAGGTTGCTGACGCTTAATCATCATGCGTTGATTGCCCTCCTATCTCGCCACTCATGTGAGCGCAGCACAGTGACATCTCATTCATTAAGGACCACGTCTGGCTCTGTGATCTGCACTGTGTGCCTCTAACGCACACATAATGGGTTTTACCACTAGTTTTGTACCGCTTTCTTCAATCCATTCTGTGCAACTGATTGTATCCTACTTCTAGGACTCTGAGCCAGAAAACTTACTTTTTCTTCCTTTCTTCCTAACCGCCCCTTCCCTTTTGGATTTTATGTTTAGTTCTTTGCCAGCTTGGACCTTGGCTTCCAGTAATTTCCCATCCATATTCCTTCTGGCAACTGCAGGTAAACTTCTCTCTGTGTCCACCTGGGGTTCCCTACAATATCTCTCTGGCTCCTGGCCCCTTGAGAAGCAAGGGGTATTATTCTCACCTCTTAAAACCTTCTCTAATATCTATTAGCTTAGCTATACTATATTAACTATATCATTGCTAGTTATTATAATATTTATTGTAATTATTTATTATGTAATAATTATTTAATACATTAAATATATAAATTATTATAACAACTATTATATTAGCTGTATTACTAGCTATAGCTTCCCTATAGCTATTAATTTTGAGATTTCTCCATCTGGAGCACTGTATTCTAGAGAACCATAGAGGGATTGGAGGAAGCTGCTTTTCACACAGATGTGTGATTGTACAAAAGCCTGTAGGGTTATTAGATCCGTAACAGTATGTCTTATAAAAAGATGCAGAGAGAACACCTGACAACAGATTATCTTCTCTTTTGGAAAGCAAAGCTATTTGTTAGTGATTTTAAAACCTAAGAAAATATGTTTTCTTCCTGTGTTTCTACCTATACTGTTAATAGTTTATGGCAAGTTAACTACTTAGGCATCTGAATTGAACATTAACCATAAAAATTAATAATTTTTAAATAGGCTGAGTTGGTTTAAAATAAAATCTTATAATAGCTTAATATTTCAACTGCAGTAGAATAACTAACTACTGCATGTAAAGCTTGACAATTTCTTTTTGACTAGTTTATAAAATGGAGTATGCCAAAGGGGAGAAGTTTATAAACTTTGAGTTTAGAGAACCACAGTTTCCTTCCTTAAAACCTACCCTCATTGAGGGGCTTAACAAATTAAGTTTTGTGAAACCCAGTGCTTCTTGCAGATCCTTGGTGCTCCCCTGCTTTTCTCTTGTTTGGTTGTGGGCATAGAGCTGTATTTTTTTTTTGTCTTATTAGGTTTTGGCTTGCATTGTACAACTCTGAGGACTTTTACTTCCTTTTTATATTTTGGTTGCTAATTTTAGCTAAAAGTCTTGCTTAATGGAAAGTATTGCAATTTTGATAATTTTATTTTATTCTTTGTGATATTTTCAGGGCTTTTTTTTTTCCATTTGTGAAAGTGTTCTCACTTTTTG